ATAACCAATTTGACATAACATAACATAACTTTTTTAATTTAATATTATTTCACAATTACCTTAAACATATTGGACATCTAGGAGAAATGGGTGGTGAAACTGATGGACCTAGCCTTTGAAAACATTCTCATTCCCACTAATTGACGAGGTATCATAATTGGTTGATATGAATAATTATCAATAAAGATATCTTAATGCAGCAATACCCTATGCATAGTTCTTTATCACGTCAAAATCACACAAATAAAGTAACTACCTCAACTTACCCAATTAGAGCCCCTATCAACAAATATAATACCTTCGATAAATATCAATATCCATGCTTTCCCCATGTGATGCAAGTATTGAAGGTCATTGTTATATTTGTCGATGTTAATGTTTCACCCAACCATGACAATTTTAAGACAAATCCTTAAATTTTATCATTAGGTGAAACAATCCCTAAATACTAGTAAGATACATTATATGAAAATTTTCACTATTAAATTTTGTGCGTTTCATATTAATGAACAATTATATAATAAATGAATATTTAACTAAAATATGATTAGTTAAATAAGTATGAAATTCTCACCTAATGTTTTTCAGTCAACATCCTATCTCGATAAAATTGCTTTTCCATCAACATGAAATCCAACAAGTAATGCTACATCTTATAGAGTAATGCTACATTCTCTAAAAAGCATGAAATGTATGTGTCTTTAGTCTCCATCTCTTTACTCTAGTTGAAATAGGACCAGAACTAACTCTTATAAAATTGAGTATGATAATATGGTTTAGGCTTTCTGTTGCACACATGCTGAGAAACATGTTTGGCCTACAAAGTCAACAAGTCCGTCTTTAGTGGTCCACAAATACCACGTGTACAAGATGACAATTCCATCTACATAGAAAATATTACATATTACAAATGGTGGTATCTTAAATAACGACATAAAAAAAATACTCACACTAGGGTCAAAGCTTGAGAGGTGTAAAAAGAAGCAAGGGTCAAATATTAGGAGATGAAAAAATTATTATTTGAGTCAAACAAAAGCAAAGGGACTAAGAGGAGAAGTGGGGAAGTGGAGACCCCTTAACCGTATATATTAGATGTAAAAAAAAATACTAACTACTTCGCGACACATGTCTCCATTTCATTGGAGAATAATATGGCAACATGCATATGCCATTGTATGTGAGAACACCACTTGCATGCATGCATGTGTTGCTGTTCAGGCCAACAACAATTGAAGCATGCTAGTGTCGCTGCCCCCAACAACACCACTTGTAGTAATGCATGTGACGCTCTCTACAACAACCCCACATGTTGACACTTAATAAATAAGTCATTAGTTTTTATACATATAATTTATTAATTAATAAAATATATATATAGTAATTAGAAAAATATAATTTAGTTAAATATATATATACATGTAATTAATTAATAAATAATAATTTATTACATTTAAAATTTTAATAATTTTGTTTAAAATTAAAATTTAAAATAAATATGTTATCATTTTTTAATTTAAATTATATTTAAAAATTAAAATTAATAAATTACTTTGTAATTATAAACATAAATTAACACAAACAATTTAAATAAACCTAAAAATTTGAAGCATATAATAAATAAAATTTTATTTATTATTCAATAAACATTAACATTACGAATCACATAAATTAGTTGATGAATCATCATCATACATACTTTCACGTAAACAAACAATAATTTCATTTGGAGTCCATGGTTGACGCAAACATTGCAAAATAACTTCTGCAATTCTCTTAATCTTAGCATATAATTCAATCGGATATGTCTTATAAAATCCTTTATATATAGAAAACATATAATCTACATCCTCATTGTTCATGAATTGAAGGGGAGCATAATCAACACAATCATTTTCTTAACAATAAACTTAATGTCGATAATGAAATTCTTTTATATTGTCAACATTTCTTATTCCAATAACTTATTTGATTTGATTTTTCAACATGTGTAAAGTTATGTCTTTGTCAATTTTAAATAACTTAAGAATATCACATTCTTCAAGGCTTTCTTCTGTTCTAAAGATACTATTAGTTTTGTGGCCATTGCTTAGAATACATCAGGTCTTCCTTTGGAGGCTCATATGCATCTTCTCGCCCTAGTTACCAAAGAAAAGGTGTTTTAGGCCCTCCTAAGCATGAAATCTTACAAGGCCCCGGGACCCGATCGCTTTCAACCTATATTCTTTAAAATGTATTGGGAGGATGTAGGTGATATGGTTTGAAGTTTTGTGGCAAAGGCTTTTGCTACTGGCACTTTTTTGGCTAGAGTTTTTGACACTTTATTGGTTCTCATTCCTAAAGGTGAAAGTCAACACACTTTCAAAGACTTCCGCCCAATCAGTCTTTGTAATGTAATTTACAAACAAGTGTCTAAGGTTTTGGTGAGTAGATTATGCCCCTACTTAGACTCCATTATTCATCCGTGGCAGAGTAGTTTGATTCTAGGAAGAAGCACAAAAGATAATGTTATAGTTCTTCAAGAGGTTGTTCATCACATGCTTAAATCCAAGGGTAAAACTGGTGATTTCCTACTTAAGATTGATTTGGAGAAAGCTTATGATAGGCTTGACTAGGATTTCCTCAAACAAACCCTCAAGTTATATGGGTTTCCGAAACGGATTGTTTTATTGATCATGCATGGCATTACCTCTACTAGTTTGTCTCTACTTTGGAATGGTAATAAATTGGATGGGTTCAAACCTGTCAGAGGACTCTGGCAAGGTGACCCTCTCTCGCCTTATCTTTTCGTTCTATGTATGGAGTACTTTGGCATGATGATTCAATGGGAAGTGGAAGAAGGTACTTGGAAACCCATCCATTTAACTAGACATGGCCTGAAATTGTCTTATATCTTTTTTTGCAACTGATGTCTTGTTGTTTGCTAAGGCAGAAAAAGAGCAGGCTATCACTATCAATAAAGTTTTGGAGAGCTTTTGTCGTATGTCTGGTTTGAGGATTAACATTCAAAATTCTCGAGCCTTGGCTTCAAAGCGTGTGCCAAGTCAACAAAAGGAAACTATTACTACTGTTACTCAAATTCGTTTCACCTCTAGGATTGAAAACTACTTGGGGTTTCCTATTTTTCAAGGCTGGATCCACTGCCGAGATTTTATGGCACTCATTAAAAGGGTTTAGGGTTTAAGTCGAAGTTGACTGGCTAGAAGAGTGTATTGTTAAACAAGGCAGGCAAGGTTACTCTTGCCAATGCAGTTCTCACGGCATTACCTTCCTATGGCATGTAGTTATATTGGTATCCTGAACATATTTGTGATTTTATTGACAGGTCAGTGCGTTCTTTTATCTGGTAGAGTAGGGAAGGTAAAGGCCCACACATGGTTGGATGGGACAAGCTTACTCGACCAAAGCGTTGTGGTGGGTTGGCGATTCGCACCGCTCAAAACCAAAATACTGCATTGTTAGGGAAGTTAGTATGGGATCTACTACATCCAACAAGTCAACTATAGGTTTTGGTACTCAAGGATACATATCTCTTACAAGACTCACTTTTCTTATCCAATAGGAAATCAGGTTCACCCACCTAGAGGGCCATCATTTAGGCGTTGGCTCTTTTAGAAGACAGTCTAGTTCTCAAGTTGGGTAATGGAGAGCTTGATGTTTGGTAGGATGTTTGGGTGGGTAAGGAACCACTAGCGACATCTATCTCGTGGATGGATATTCACGATTTTGGGTTGCAAGTCAAAGATATCTGGGATGGTTCCTCGTGGCGGATGGACCAGCTTTATACACCCTTGTCAAAGGCTCTTCGTCTCAAGATATCTCGTTTAACTTCGCATCTTGTCATAGGTGTGTCAGATTTGTGGACATGGGCACATGATATCCTTGGGAAGTACATGGTACAATTAGCTTACAGGTGGTTGTCAGAGGATTATGGGTTGGAAACTTCTGCAAGTTGGAATTAGAACTTCCAGCTAGTTTGTGTTTCTTTCTCTAGCAGGGTTGTCATCTTGCACTACCTGTTAAGAAGGTTCTCTATCAACGTGGCATTTTGGCCTCCAATACCTACCCTAGGTGTGACACTGCAAACGCATGCAATTTTGTTTATAATAATTATGTGGTTTATCTAGTGCCACAAGAATAGACTCATTTTTTATCAGGTGGATTGGAACTTAACGTCTATTCTAGTTCAAGCAAATGCTTTACTTTAGTTCTCTGTTTCTGCTTTTACGACTATTGATTGTTCGTGTCGACCTCTGCCTCATTTGGTGCATTGGACTCACCCCTAGTGGATACTGTGGCCTTGAATGTGGATGAGAGTGTGATTGGCATGTCTAGTAGAGGGGGCTTTGGTGGCTTGTGTCGAGAACATGAAGGACAATTCCTTTTTGGTTTTTATGGCTTTTTATGAGAGGTTTTTGTTCTCCATACAGATATTTTAGCTCTTCTCCATGGCCTTCATCTTTGTTAGAATAAAGGGTTTCGAAGGATTGTTTGTTACTCAGATTCTACTTTGGTGGTATCCATCTTACAGGGATCTATTCCAGTGTTTCATCACTAAGGAAATAAGTTCATGGGGATTCATCAATTGCTCAATCGTGATTGGATTTACACTGTCGTTCACACCTTATGTGAGAATAATAGTTGCGCAGATGTTTTGATTCGAAGGGGTCTTTAGGTAATGATAGACTAGTTATTTTACAAAATTATCTTTTAACTCTTACTAATTTATTACTTGCTGACTTTCTGGAGACTGTTTTTCAAATAGGCTAATTTTTTATATTTTCTTTTTTATTTCTCATTCCAATACAAAAAAAATATCAACCACATAGATGATTTTGTATAAGATATGGAGAAATTGTTGAATTTATTTTTTAATAACCATTGGTTCTACTTCTAATAACTTCCAACTTCTCAACGCCAGATCAGTCTCGCATGTCCCTGCGAATCAAAACAAAGACCAAAAAGAAAAAGAAAAAAAATAGAAAACAATATTTGATGAGTGGCGCTTTTTTAAGCGTTTTCACACATACCACTCTCTCTTTCTTTCTTTCTTTCTTTTCACTACTTGTCCCTTCTCTTCTCTTCCTTTCCTTTGTTTCCTTAACACAACAGATAGAGCAGCAGCAATGGCGGGTTACAGAGCCGACGACGACTACGACTACCTCTTCAAGGTGGTTCTGATCGGCGACTCCGGCGTCGGAAAGTCCAACCTCCTCTCGCGTTTCACCAAGAACGAGTTCAACTTGGAGTCCAAGTCCACCATTGGCGTCGAGTTCGCAACTCGCACTTTGAACGTCGATTCCAAAGTCATCAAGGCCCAGATCTGGGACACTGCAGGCCAAGAAAGGTTCCTCTTTTTCTCATTCCCTCTCCCACAATGCAAGATCATGCTCCACTAACTAATGGGCACCCCAGTTTCGACTAAAAAACTGTTCTTTTTTTTTTGGAATAATTTTTTTTTTGATTTTGATGGGTTGGTTTTAGTTGGGTGGATCTAATTTTGCTGATTCTCCACTTGGGTCGGTTTAAAAGGCGTCGTGTGATCCATGTACTCGACCTTACCTAGTGGTGAAGGGTTTTGTTGATGTTGTTGTTGTTGTTCAATTGGATGGATCGTGATCTTGTGTGGAAGTTTGCTCTAATTTAAGTAACGTCAATGAGTTGTTAATCGGTGTTAAAAAAAAAAGGTAAGTGAAGTGTTTTTGTGGAATTAGGTTACTGAGTGTTGTGCTAGATTTGGTTTGTGGAGATTTGTGTTTTTGAGATCGGGAGTAGAAGTGGGACTGTGGATGAGGCGGTGTAGTGTTAATATTGATGATGTGTTGCTGTGTTATTTTATGAGTTAGGAATCTCGTGATGTGAGTGTTGACATAGTCAAATTTATTAAATGTGTGTGGTTTTAAACTTTGGATTGGATGGTGGTGTGGAATTTGAAGTCAACAATTGTTTCATTTAGAAGGTCTCAAAATAGAAACTTGTATGGCACTTGAATTTTAAAAAAACCGTCTTCAGTTTAGCTTGGCTAATGTCTAAGAGATATCTTTGACTAGATTATACTGCATTCGGGTCTTTTAATGGTTCATGCACAAGCAATGCTTCATACCACGGATTTTCCCTCTTTAGAAAAGACTATGCTGTTGTTGTCTACTAGTAGTTTTTGTCTGATAGGTGTTAGTTAGTTAGTCACTACTTACTAGTTTATTGTTAATAAAATATTGATCTTCTTGTCTTTAATTAAAACTACTTATAATCTATTTGTCTGTAAATGGATGTTCCCATTGTGCTTAATTTTAAATGTTCTATTAGTTTATTCTATTTTTAATATTATTTTCTTCATGAGCTGACCTTTGAATATTGCTCAAATTTCTTTGTTTGAGATCTTAGTTCTATGGATAAGCCTTATGTTGAACTTTAGCCTTATGTGTATATATGTGGGTTGTGTAGGCTTTGATCATCTGTGATCTCAGCTGAGTTTGGGCCTGAACTCAGCTGAATTTGGGCCTGGTTGCTGCAAAGATAAAATCAAGCATGCCTTGATTAATCAAATGCCAATAGATATTGATTATATGTTTTTTCATTTGCAGTGTATATGGTAAGGCATTTGAGGAACTTATAAGTTCCTCTGACCAACTTATAAGTTACTTTGATTAAAATAAGTTTGTTTAGTATAAGAGTTTATATTAGGAACTTATAACTTATTTCCATAAGCTAAATGAAGTATCTTATTACTTATAAGCTCTTAACATTTTTTTCCTCTCTGTTTTACCCTCATTAATTTTTTTTTTGAAATCCTTTTTTACTTTTTTTAAAATAAAAACCATTTACCTACATGCTATCCCCTCATTCATTATTAATAAATAGATGTCATTTTACATTAATTAGGTAGTCTATCAGCTAATCTTATCAAACACTTTCAATTTAATCAGTTAACTTATTAGCTTTCAGCTTCTAGCTTATAGCTTACAGCTAACTTGTGTAAGCTTTTTGCCAGCCTATAAGCTAGTTTTACCGAACACATCCTTATACATGCCATGTGAATGATCCCTTGAAAGGGTAAGTTTTGACCTTGGGCTACTTACAAGAGTTATTAATCATACTCCTTGTTGACATCATTGTATTCTACGTAAACTATGATGAAATTGGTGAATCTTATAGAATGAAGCAAGTTCAATTCCATCTTAGACTCAAGGAAAAATATATCTGGTAAGTTGTCCAAAAGAAAGAAAGAGAGAAAGAAAATTATACCTTCTCTTTTACATGCGATCAGTAATTATATTGATGCAGGCTTATATGTTGGATTGCTGACACACGGATAATATTTTAATCATTCATAGTCTTCCTTGCTATTCTCATTAGACACTTGTCCAATTTCAACAATGCACCATAATGGTCAATACTTATATTATGGTGACAACATTTTGGCCAGTAGTTCTGTACTGTTTACCATCAACTATTTACTTCTAAGAGTTCAACAAACCATAGCTCTATTTTGTCAACACTTCCCTTGCCTGAAATTGATCAAATTTTACTACATACACCGTTTGAGACTTTGTAATTGACTGAAAGTGTCTATTGGAAACTTGATTGTTGCATCTGAAAGGCTGAAAACATTCTATGTGGAACCATGGATACGTGGCAGAGATCAACAGTGCTTTATTTGGACAAAGTCATTTGGTTGATGCTATTCTTTCCAATAACTTCGTTAAAACCCAATAATTTCCTGTACCACTTAAATTATTAATATATGCTTCGTATTTTTTCTATAGAATACATTGATCAAATTGTCTCTTTTTCCATCAAAGTTTGTGCTGAATGTGAAACATCTTCTCCCGTTGTATTGTATTGCCTAAAGCAGTAAGATATACAAATTATTAGTGAAAATTTAAGGTATTCACTTTTCAGTCTTCTTTATATCCCCCACTGACTTTGTATTGACCCTAATCTTTGTTAAAGGAATTGTCTAATTGTGAATATTCTACTTGCAAATGTTGGGTATGGAATTGCAGTCTTATTCAAGTTTTGTTACCAATGTTATGATATGTCTTGTCTTGATTTATGTCCTTTACCTTGTGACTGCCTTAATGAATGCAGGTTTTCTTTGTTGCCTAACCTATGAGGTACTGACACATATACAGAACGTCGTGTTGACGTGTCTGATACATTTTAGACATGACACTTATCAGACACACCTTAACATCCCATTGTTATGATTTATTATGTATAATAAGTTAACCAAATTTGTAAATTGATTTCCCACCATCTTGCATGTTGTTAATTCACATTATTTCTCTTTGTAGGTATCGTGCCATCACCAGCGCTTACTATCGTGGGGCGGTTGGTGCACTTCTTGTGTACGACGTCACTCGCCATGCAACATTCGAGAATGTTGACAGATGGCTGAAAGAATTGCGGAACCACACAGACGCCAACATTGTTGTGATGCTTGTCGGTAACAAATCAGACCTTCGTCACCTTGTGGCTGTGTCAACCGAAGATGGGAAATCCTATGCTGAGAAAGAATCACTTTACTTCATGGAAACCTCAGCTCTTGAGGCCACCAATGTAGAGAATGCATTTGCTGAAGTTCTGACTCAAATCTACCGAATTGTTAGCAAGAAAGCAGTAGAGGGGGCTGAAAATGGAACTGCATCTGTGCCTGCCAAAGGAGAGAAAATTGATCTGAAAAATGATGTGTCTGCTTTGAAGAGAGTTGGTTGCTGCTCGAGCTGAGGTTGGGAAGCATAGTTCAATTGGTTGGTATCGGCTCTGTTGTACGTGTAATATTCTGAGAAATACGAACTAGAAGAAAAGTGAAATTTAATTTGTCATAGCATGTTAGACTCTTTGTGTAACCTTAAAAAAACTAAGTTTGGTGTTTCAATAGGGTGAAGCAAGTTGATTGCTAAGTGGCCTAGTCTTACTTGTTGTAGTGTTGTTATTATTGTTTTTGGAATGCTTTCACATGCAAAGAGGTTCAAGCTTGGGATTAATTGAAGCTATTGTTTCATTTAATATTTTGTAGTATTATGTGGTGGACATGGTTTACCAAAAAATGAGAACATTGTAGTTCATAACAATTACTATCTTGGCATCTGCGGGCAGATTTTTGTAGCAGGCTCTTTCTTTCTTAAAGGAAAAAGTTCTTTTTAATTAAAAATGTTTAAAACATTTCATAATAATTATGGTGGTTTCTCAGAAAATGTAATCGAAAAAACCGTTGCTATTTTTTCTTTTGAAGTAAAAGATTTCTAGCTAAGTTATATTGTCAATTACTTTTTAAACTTAAATATGATGTTTTTCTTATTCATGGGAATTGAACATGCTAACAAGATAGATTACAACAGTTACATATTTTGTTAAACTATTTGAGTTAGACCCTCTTGATCTTTGTTCAACTAAATGACTTAGACTCTCTTAATCAGAGACCTTTTGTTTATAACAATTTTGGAAAATATATTATTTTAAGAAATAGTTAACAAATCAATCATAAAATGCAATTTCGGTATTCAGATATTTGGATACTGAGGGTGTTTTATTCTCATTTTTTGGCTTTAAGAACTGTTTGTAAAATAACTTTGCAGTACTCAATACTCAATTTTTCATCTAAAATACTTTGTTATGAAAATTGTCTCTAAAATAAATATTTTAAAAATCAAAAACAAAAACACAGGTAAGATGTTTCGTCATTCTTTTCTTTTTATTTTGAAGTCCTAATTCTAGGGTGTGAATCATGGGCTTGGTGTGAGTGAAACCTGGTCGAAACAGTTGATTTTGCATAAATTTATTCATGATTTCAAAATAACAGCAATATTAAGAAATAGTTAGGAAAATATGTAAAATTCCACTTCGGATAATTACCAAAAAATATATAAGTTATCTTATTTTAAGAAATATTTGGCAAAACATGCATGGACTCGGGTAAAATTATAAAGTTATAAAAAATAAAAAAAAATAAAAAAAAGAATTCCGTTGCCGGGACTTGAACCCGGGTCTTTCGGGTGAGAGCCGAATATCCTGACCAACTAGACTACAACGGAATCGCTGACAATGATGAGGTTTAGACATTTATAAAGGATATACGGAAGTTCCAAATCAGACTCTGCTGCAGAGATAGAATGAGGGAGGACAAGACAGGGACCCTCAGGGGAGTGATGACCTTCCATGTTTCTCATCTCAAATGCTTTTTATTTTTATTTTTTATTTCAATCTTCATTTTAATTTTTAAGGGAACTGAAAAACTGGTAGGTATACAAAATATATTTTATATTGATTTTCTACGGAAAATGTAGTATATTATGGAGTAGAAATATTAAGTGCTGCATGTATGAAGAGTAATTATTAGAATGCATTTGCTGGTAGAAAAGCTCCTTATAAGTGCAAAGCTGTTATGATATGAGAGCTGACCCTTATGTTTATAATAGTAAATAATAGACTCCATGTGTAAGCCTTTAATAGGAGTTTTAGATTACTCTAATATATATATATATACACTTTGTATGTGTCAAGTGTGATTCTTTATTGATGATCTTTTAAGGCTCCAAGAAATGTCATGGTACTAGAATATATTTTGGGGCTAATTTGCATGTGTTGATTTATAGCTGTATCAGTAAAATATGAGCCTTGATTTGTGATTTGATATAGTACTCTTAACTAAGGCTTCATTTTCACACAATTGTTGGTTGTCCCCCTATCCTAGATCTGATCCTTCTTTCCCAAATGAACAGTTCCAATCATTTTACTCTTCAGGCTTTTTATGTTTCTCTGTAGAACATAATTCATATCCATTCACCTTTTAAGAATTTAATACGAGTTATGAAATAGTGTGACATTGTTTGGCTTCTGTTAATTTTAGCTCGTCAAGAAAATTCATGCTTCCTGACCAATAAGACAAGTTAAAAGGTGCGGATTTTGGTCCATATCATAAGGTTGTTTTGTATGAGATAATCCTATTCAAATTGAGAAAGATAACTATAAATAGTAAAATTCTCTCTTTGAGATTCAACTGTATATTCATGACTTGAATTTGATAACATTGGTTAAACTGATCAACTCTGCGCCAATTGATCTACCGAATTATTTAAAGAATTATATTATTATTATTATTATTATTATTATTACTTTTTATAATCTGAATTCTGAAAACAATAAATCTTTTACTTTTTTTATTTTATTAACCAGTGTCATAACATAAACACTTAAATACTGCATTGGGCAAACACTTCAAATCCTTTCATTCAACAATGTATTTGGTCACTGATTGGATCCTCTAGGATTGCTAGAAAGCTCTCCCTCCCAAAAATAAAATACCTTCCTATCTTCTAAACTGTGCAATAGCCAAGCCAAACTGACACATTTTATCAAGCACATTGCTTATCAAGCACATTGCTTTCCAACACAGCACATGCATTTGCCACAATAAGCACATGTATTTGTCATAATTTTCCATAAAAAGCGGGAAAAAACATTTTCCCAATTTTATTCACTGGAACCAAAATCATACAAAGTACTATTATTCTTTCTTCAAATCCCTGCTTCCACACTAATTGATTCAATTCAAGAAATATTGCTGGATCAAAGGATATTATTCACTCAAAACATTATTGTAATTATTTGGAGAAAGGACATTTTTGAGAAGGTGCTGAAGTTTTGGTGCCATCAATGTCATCCTCTATGGTGTGATTTGTGTTCTTCCCTGATAGAAGGCCTCCAAGCATCTCTGCTGGGTCATAGTAAATCTCCACCTCTTCAACTTTCAAAGAGTCATCCACCTGTGCAGACAAATTAAACCTCATGAGTCATGATTGTGATAGAGCCTTAAATAAAATTGTTTCTTATGACCACTAAGTGAAAAAATCACATCACTAGCTTTCAATACATAGTGAAAAAAATTGTTTTACTGGGAAATTCTTGTTTTGATCATGAGTGATTAAATTTTTGGATACTTGTGCTTCCTATTTTCCTTCAAAGTATTTTTTTTTTTGTTAATAAACATAATTTACGCAATATTGCAAAGTTGATAATGAAAGATTAATTTGTATTTACAGAGTGCCTTCTACTGATCAAACATTATTAGATACAGTGTAAGAGTTATACCTTCACAGTTCCCAAGCCATAAAATTGGACCATGTTGCCAGTAGGGGCATGTCCCTTAAAATGACCTTCAAAGAAGCCCCAGTGTCTAAACTTGAAAGCAATTTCAGGTGGTCCACTATAAACTTTGATCACTTCCCAAGCAAATCCTCGAGGTAAAGCTGATCTGAAGGCTTCATGAGATGATTCAAAAGTCTCTTCATCTGCTTTGTAAGGCTTCAACTCTTCTGGCAAAGAACTTTGCAACAGAGCATTATAACTTCCCAGCCTTAGAGTTTCCTCTCCAGATAATCCCTCCCTCCCTGAAAATGAAACATGACACTATAGTTTATCATTAAATTCACTTCAAAAACATGTCTGCTACTAGAAAATACTTGCATGAGAAATAAAAATGTTACAGAATTTTTCTTATGGGGGGATCTCCTTTTGCTTCAGAACTAAAAAGTTCCCCAATTCAAACTTGAACCAATTTTCGTCCATGTGGGTGGATAGGGGCAAATTTGATCTTTATTGTGGAACTGTGGAAGTGGGGTGTATGTATAATGACTATGAATGAGAAGTACTGGGTACATTAGAAAAATACATGGTGAAAATTTTGATCCATTCATTCTCACCCTTAATTATGTGAATAGAAATCAATCAAATAGTACTAATGGACTAAAGCAAAGTGTCCATGTATCTATCTACCAAAAGATTCAAAACCCTTAACATTTCCATTGAAAAAGATGGAGATGAAACAAATTTGACACATCTAAGTCCATACCATTGACAAAGAGCTTGAACTTGTCAGGGTTTATTGTCTTGAAATCTTGTAAGCGAGTCTTGTGTGAGAGCTCCATCTCCCATGACTTGATAGCATTTTGGACTGTCTCCTCTAATGATCCTTCTGGCCATTCCTGCAACATGCAATACAAAGTGAACACAGAATATAGAGAGAAGAGTGGATAAGAGGGTATGGTGGTTGCACCTTGGTTCTTCCTTCTTCAAAAAGCTTGTTAACCTCATCATAAGTGGGGGGGCCACCATGTCTCCACTGAACGCTCTCAGGCTCATCATGCAAGAAAGACCTGTACTTGTCTTTAGCCATGTCAAATTATGCTACGCCTTGCACATAGGAAAGATGGTGATCAATGATAATGGTGTGCAACATGAGTTCTTATATAGACCCTCTTCATGGAGAAATTATTTGGTAATATTAGATCATATGATCTTTTAATTAATCTCTAATGACATGTAAATAAATAGTATTAATTTTTATAAATTAAAACATTTAAATACATATTATATAAAAATTGAATAGAATATGAATAATTCTGAATTATCTAATAATTAATTTGCCTCATCTTAATTATTAGGTAAGAGTTGCTTTTCTTGTATTTCTGAGATATATATTTTTTTATTCTCAGGATGATTAAATAGCAGTTTAATATCTATCTAAACAGTATTGAAAGTATTGGAAGAAATGATAGATTTAACTTCTGGCGGTAGTCGACAATTAATTGCTTCCGATATTTTTAGTCGTTGATTTTTTTTTTTTAATTTTATCTCTTTAAGAGTTTTTTTTTTTTTTAATTTATAAGAATCAAACTCGATATTAAGAAAATTTATAATAATTCACATGCCTTATTCAATCAACCGAGCTATATTGAATTTAAAAGTGTGTTTGAGACAACTATAAAAATTAAATTATTTTAATAATAAATTATATGTATAATAAAAATTAATTTTCTTTTAATATTTATTTATAAATGATTTTAAGGTGTGTAATTTCATTTGGATATAACAAAAAAAATGTTGGGATATTTTTGTACAACTTATATAAGATATCACATTAATTTGTGTTAAATTTGCTCTAATGTATTATGTGGATAAATTAAGCATAACATTTTTTTTTATAAGTAAGCATAATTCATTTCTATCTAGTCAAATTCTAAAGAGGTAAAATGGTACCTCCTTTAGTTAGAACTTCATGTCCATGGTAGGAATTGAATCCCAACCTTTGATTAACGAACAAACATACTAAATTACTTGATCTAATAACTTTTGGTACAATTTTTAGTCTTTAATAACTACTTATGTGTTCATTAGAATGTTAATTGACCATCCTAGATGACACCTACAAATGTATGTGACACTATGTTAGTGTACGACATTTCTAATTATTTTAATAGATCTCCTTAAATTAAAATAAATGTTATTTATTTAGTTTAAAATGATTATTAAGGATAAAAAAAGTGATTTTAGATTTTAGAGGAATAAAAGTAATAAATATTTTACAAGACAAAAAAACTAGAATTTGTTCATTTTTCAAAGGTCAATAACAATGGTTACAAATTTTTTTTTAAAAAAAAGTAAAGCAAAGAAATAATTTTAAAAAGACAAATAAAAACTCACTCATTTTACAAAAACTAATATCATATTAGGCATGTGAAAAAAGTGTTAACATTTATTACTTTAATGAATACTTAAATAACCATAATCTTAAAATAATTTTGTACTACTAGGTCAACTTAACGATATATTGAGACAATAATAATATACACAAGATCTTAAATTTAAAATTCATTATTGTTATTATAATTCTATTAGATAAAATAATAATTTTTAAAATGTTGTTTGAAAGTTAGATTTTTTTTAAGAGAAACGTATAATCTTATTAAATAAATAGGATAAATGTCTAATTTATATTTATTTTGGACAAAATTTTATTAACATAAATTTTAATTACATATTTGATTTGCATATATTAACATAAATTCGGTGTAAAAAAAATAAATTTTAATTAATATCAACCAAATAAGATTAAGTTATTAAATCAATAAGATAATAAATAATACAAAAAAAAATCAATAAGATAATAAATAATACAAAAAAAAATTAATAAGATAATAAATAATACAAAAAAAAATTAATAAGATAATAAATAATACAAAAAAAAATTAATAAGATAATAAATGATTAATTAATTAATTAACATGAAAAATAAATTATTTATTAAATAAAATAAAGTGGTAAAGTTCAAATACATGCAAGTAATAAAATACAAAGATAAAATCTGTTGATATTAGGTGTAATTGTGCAAATATAAACAATTATACTAAATCTAAATCATTAATACACATAAATCTTACTATAATAGAGTCAGGATTCATTGACACATGGTGTCAAATTAGTAAAATCATACTTTCAATATTTTTTTATAAAATAAAAATGTTACTCTATCCAATTGTTGTATTTAAGGGTTTTACTCATAGTTTTAAAAACCGGACCGGTCATCAAACCGGTTAAGGTACTGGGTCAGTGGGTCAAAGGTTGAACCGGTGGGTCACTAGTTAAACCGCATGACTCAATTTTTATTAAAAAATATTTATATTAAATATATTTTATACTTATAAATTTTAATAAATTCATATCTTATTTTAAATTTCAATTTTTCTATCTTATTTAAAATTATTTTTATTTTTATTTTGTAAAAAAATACATAAAAAAATTACATGTTAAACGGTATATTAATACAAATTAAAAATATAAATAATATGTACATATATAATAT